GAGGACTCTGGAGCCAGACTTGGGTTCAAACTGCAGCTCTGCTCCTGCCCAGATGTGTGGCTGTCAGCCATGGACCGCCTTAGCTGTGCTTCCGTCTCCTAGTCTGGAGAAGCGGGACTGTGACAAAGGGGTGCAGAATGGACACGGGAACCTGGAGGCCTTCCTGGCACCTGGCTGACTTGTGAGGGCTGTGTGTCTAGTGATAGTCAAGGAGTCTTAAGCAGAGGCAGTGTGGAACTCTCCAGAACTATTACCCCTGGGCCTGGCCACCAGCAACATTCTGGATAGCCACAGCTCCTGGGAGCCTGGGCCCCCCTGCTGAGGGTAAGCAAAACCTTTGTTGATTTCAGCCACTGAGCTCTGGGGCTTTTGTTACTGCAGCTTAACTTGACTTGTCCTGACTGATACATCTTGGGCTGGGTGTTGGCTCAACTGTGTCATTGTTAAAATACTGAAATCTGTCTACATTGTGCGGTAGGCAGCCATGGCCCCCAGTCCCCCAAGGGTCCCGGCTGCCTCCAGCCCTGCTCCCCTCAATCTGGCAGTAGAATGGTGGTGCACAGTGCTTCAGGGGGACCTGCTCCACCATCAGAGCCCACTCTTGAGTGGCACCTTTGCCTGGATCTCAGAGTCTGGCTCAAACTGACCGCCCCTCCCCTCTAGCCCCCCAAACATAAACCTTCCCAGCATCTTCACAGAAGCAGAGGCTAGATCAAGGCTTAGCTCTATTCTGAGTGGTCAGTTCCTCCCTCAGCCTTACAGAGAAGGGCATAAGCTCTGGAGCTGTGCTTTCCCAAGACCAAATTCTGGCACCTACAAGTCACGTGACCTCGGGGTTCAGGTGCCTGGGCCTCTGAAAGGTGGCCGTATGATGGCAATGATGTAATAAATATGAATCACTGGGCCTGGGGCTTGGTACATAAAACCAAAAAAAAAAAAAAACCCACTGCCGTTGAGTCGATTCCAACTCATAGCGACCCCACAGGACAGAGAAGAACTGCCCCACAAGGTTTCCAAGGAGCGGCTGGTGATTCGAACTGCTAACCTTTTGGTTAGCAGTCAAGTTCTTAACCACTGTGCCACCAGGGCTTCTAGCAGGTGCTTGATAGATGGATGTTGTTGTTACATAATTGTCTAAAAGGAATTCAGATTCCATTGTCTCTTTTGGTATCAGAGAAGACACTGTTGGGGCCGGCCCGTAGCCCCTCGTATTCCTACTATGCACCTTCATTCCTTTGCCCAGGCACCTTCTTCGGCTGCACATCTGTTGGGAATTAACAGCTCCCCTGAGAGTAGCCCTCGGCTATGTGATTGATGGGCATTGGTGGATCAGTACCCCAGCTCCCTTGCCCCTGGGTGGGATGACGCTGAGGTGAGTGCTCTATACCGTCTCCCTGAGGTTCCCGGTGGTTCTGAGCCCCAGTTGCCCACAGTGGAACTTGCCCAATGACACACCATTCATTGGTTTCTCTTCCCTCTCTCCCCTCCTTACTCCTCTACGGTGCTTCCTGGGATCATTTCCCAGATACATTCCTTACACTCAAATTCTTGTCTCAGACTCAGCTTCTGGGGGAATGGGAACGAAGACAACCATCTTATCTATCCCATAGGTGTCTGGCCACAGCCTCAGGCCCCTGGGGTAGAAGGCTCCCCCTGTTGCCTGAGTTTCACGTGGCGAACTGGGGGCTTCATCTAAAGTGAAGGGGGAGGCTCAGGGCAGGCCCCTCAGGATTGCCAGGGGTAGGAAGGATGGAGGTTCCAGCCCCCGAGAGAAGAACCACATCATCACTGGAAGAGTGGCTCAAAATAAAATAACTGCATGACACACCTCTGTCGGGCAGTGCCCACCAGGACCGACGCGCCCTCCTGTCATGATGGGAGGCTGGGGCACCTGTTATCCCTGTTTTGCATATGTGGGAACAGGTGCAGAGGCCAAGTGACCTGCTTAAGGTCACGGAGCCCAAAGGGGCCAGGGCAGGATTCCTACCCAGGAGTGGCTGCTCCAGATGAGCTCAGTGACAGTCCATAGGGGGCAGCCCCAGAACCCAAATGCTGGCAGGGCTCTCTCCTGATAGCAGGGGCCACCCTGGGTGGCTGCTCAAACTGCCCCAGTGCTTGGCACAGTGCCTGGCAGCCCCGGCTGGACCTTAGACTTCCCTGGGGCTGCTTGATACCAATTGATTCGGGGCCTCCCATCTGACCCAGTGAACCAGAACCATGGGGGTGGGTCGGGGGTATCCTTCAATTTTAAGGAATCTTCCGAAATGTGTCTAACGGGTAGCAGAGTTGGGAGCACTGCTCTGGAGGAATAAGGTGGGTGATGAGATTTACCGTAGCTCTCCTAGCACTGATTGAGTGCTCACTGTATGTCTCGCCCTCAGTGCACACACTATTGTGTTCCATGCTTACAAGAGCCCTGCTGAGGGAGAGGCAAGGCATCCTTCTTACGACAGCGAGTGACGGAGGCAGGATTTGAATGTAGGTCTTTCTGGTGCCAAGGGTGACCCCTGAGACCCTGGACGAGAACAGGGACTGTAGGTCATTCTCTTCAGAGAGGCCAGCTAAGCCAGGGTTACAAGGGCAGGTCCTGGCGCCAGATGCCCTGGTTCAAATCCCAGCTCAACAACTCATGGGGCTTTGGAAAATCACTTAATGCAACCCACTAGCTCATGGCTCTGTTACCTTCTCTTGGGCTGTGAACCCCCAGTGGCCATCTGGGAAGGGCCTCAGAGTAAGGTTTGTGAAAGCATAAAATAAAACACCCAGGACTCCAGGGAGAATTGTTGTAGCCAAATAATTACCAAAACATTAAAATAGGGTGATGTAATAACAAATGTAAGGAGCCCTGGTGGCGCAGTGGTTGAAGCGCTTGGCAGCCAACCGAAACGTTGAGAGAAAGATGTGGCAGTTGGCTTCCATAAAGATTATAGCCTTGGAAACCCTATGGGGCAGCTTTACTCGGTCCTACAGGGTCACTGTGGGTAGGAATCAACTCCACACCAGTGGGTGTGAATAACAAATGTACCTCTTTATTAACATGCTAAGTAATGAGTTCTAGCTGTAGGCCTAACAGCCACCAGAATTTCAAAACAACGATGAACTCATGCTACATTTTGAGGTATCTGCAACCCCCAGAATGCAGTATGACAATATTGGACTTTTATCCATGACACAGGTTATACCACTTATCCTGCTGGGGTTTGCTGTCTGCATCCAAGATGAGGGGAAGTGCTAACGTTCAGTTAGCGGCTGATGAAAATAAAGACGCAATTTTTTTTCCTCATGTGATTTCACAGGCCCCCTGAAGTCTGCCCACAAATCCCCTTGTGGCCAATGGGCAACACTTGCATTGGTGGGAGATGAAATCAAATTAGTGGGTCATGACCTGCATTTAAGACAAGGAAACAGAATGCGCTAGAACAAGTTGAGAGTACAGGTCATGTGACAGAGGAGAAATTTATTTTGTGAAAATTGCATCTCAGTTACCTATACACATCCGCCTGGCTGGGCTGCCTTGTAAAATGTATCTCTTACTGTGGATTATGGTTAAAAAAGTTCGAATGCCCTGAACTTAACCTCTCTGGATCTCAGTTTCCTTATCTCTATAATGAATGATAAGTACTCCCACCAATCAGATTGGGTGAGGAATAAACTGAGTCAATACGCGCCTGGCACTTGACACCCAACAAGGGTCTCGTTGGTATCACTCGGCCAGCTCAAGAACCCCAAGTGGGGTCCGTGGGCATGACGCTCAAGCCACCGCTGGGGTTGAGGATCTTAGGGCCAGGTGGGGAGTCCACACCCAGCACCCAAGTGCCGCCTCGGCTCCCCCCTTTTCCACCCGCAGCTCCAGCCCCAAGGCTGTACTCACCAGAATCCCAAAAGCCATGACTTTCAACACACATTCCAGAGAGAAGAGGGAAGTGAAGACGATGTTGAACACTCTAAGAGCATTTTCATAAGCAAGCGAGGCCCCGTAGAACTAGGAGAGGAGGGAGAAAGGACAGGCAGGGTCAGCTGGCCGGGGCGGGGTGGGGTGGGCAGGCGGCTCCTTGGCTGTCCTTCCCAGGGTGGGGCTTGGATGCTCCGGCCTTGCTGCTCACCTCCTTTTACACCAACCCAGACCCCAGGCAAGAAGAGCTGAGCTCCCTGTTTGGGGAGGACCAGCTCAGGAAAGCCCAGCTCTTCACCGGCTGGTTGTGTCTTCTCACACTCAAAACCAAACCTCCTTTACTGAGCCCTGTCTTAGCTTCCGGGATGGACAGGAGGAGACCTGACTCTATGGGTTCCTGACACAGCACCCTCCCTCTTTTTCCTTTGTCATGTACCTCTTTTTTCTTTTTTTAATGGTATCTTTAAGTACTTTTTTTTTTATTGTGGTAAAATATACATAAAACTTACCTCCTAACCATTTTTAAGTGTACAATTCCGTGGCATTGAGTACATTTATAATATTGTACAACCATTACCTCTATCCATTT